TCATCCATCTCTCTTCTCCGGATCAGCTCCATGTTTTATGGATAGCAGCGACAACCTATCAAATCAAGTCTGAGCGAGAAAATTTTGGACGGTGAGTGGAAAAAACTATAGTGTTACCTTTAATTCATCCGATAGCGACAACTTGGTTCAGTCTCGCTTATAGACGCTATTCAAAACTTCACTCATCTTGACATTTTCTTAAATAAATTTGAAAGTTTTCTTCGAGTTTTAGGCTCTGCCAGTGCTCTATTTTGAGCACTGACCTTTGTCATTAACTCTATTATTGTGCAACTTCTCGTAATTTACTTTGGTTACTGCAATAATTGTGAGTTGTATCAGATTAGTGATTTTGAGTTCAAAGCTCTTGTTTGCCAATATGTTGTTGCTGCTCTCCGAAAAATATGGAGCTGAAAAATAACTTTATCTTAAAAAGGTGACCTTATTTAAATTGGGTGGGCGAGTATGACGATGATATTCTTTGGTGGTTGAAAGTGGTGAATTTATTTTGGATTGAAAGAGGAAGATGAAGGTCATGAAGTCTGGTATGTGATGATGAGGTTAATTTTATGTAGGACCTGCTGATATGACAGCTGATGTGAACAAATTAATAGAGGGATTGGGTGCCACGGTGGATGAATGTTAGGGTTAAGGGCAATTCTAAAAAGTTTGTTAATGGTAGGGGTGGATCTGAACGAAAAAGCATAACGGGAAATAATTGTAAACTATATACCATAGTAAAGGGCCAAATACAGACCTTTTCCTATTACAATTGCTTCATTTTTTTATACCATTAATATCATTTAGAACAATTAAAAAGAAGGGAAAAGGTTCAAAATTGTCCCTCTATCATGGTATAGAATTTAAATTTGTCCCTTGTTATACTTTTCGTCCAAATCTATCTATACCGTTAACAAAGTTTGCATAATTTCCCTCAACCCTAACGTCCCTCCATTGTGGCACCCAACCCCTCTAATAATTTGTCCATATCAGCAGCCAAGTCAGCAGGTCCCACTAATTAACCCATCCTTTTTCTTATTAAAATATTCACATCTTCTTCTCCCTCTATTAAGTCTTAACTCAAGAAACATGTGCATACGGAAATACATTTCATAGAAATATATATGTATTGCCACCATAGATTTTTCGGCGAAATCGGCATCTAACGACTTATGTCCAGAATGACCAATGCCAAAAAATATGTCAAGTATCATAACCCTCTTCTATCAAAGTTTCTAACAATTTTGAATGCCGCAATTGGCCGAATCAAGCTTTGAAGAATATACCACTGTCCCGGCAGCACCATCAGCTCCACAAAATGAACTACAAAGAAATTTAACAACAGTTTGATCTGCAACTTTGAATTTTAAACCATGAACTCTAGAACACCCAACAATGTAGGTTCCCAAAATTCACTATAGTGGACGAATCCAAATCTCATTTGAGTCAGAACACAAATAGATTCTCAAAAATCAACTTGTAATATATCCATTCAATTTCAGCAATCATAATATAAAGTTCAGAGCTAACGAACTGGAGTTGCAGGTGCAACTTGTCGAACTGCTGAATTTTCAGCTCAAAAGTGGTCTAAATCTTCAGGAATCAGCCCCAAAATATGGATATGAACTCTACAAACATTTCTGATTGTTTGAAACAATACCCAATCGAAATAGCTTCGATATGCGGAAATCCGATTATTGGATTCGGAGCTTCAAGATTCGTTAATGGCTGTTATGGAGTTTTCGAGTTTCAGGTTCTCCAATCTGTAATTTTCTTGTTGATTGGGACAACCAAAGTTATGTGGTTTGAGGTTTTACAAATGGGGTCTCGGATAATTCGAGATTTCATGAGATTGAGGATGTTTATTAAGAGTCCCATGACAGAATTTCTTATTTTTACATCTTGTCATACGAAGGGTTTGGGAGGTCTGACATGGAAAAAAATGAGGGGCCACAGTGTAGATCCGTTAGGATTAGGGACAATTTTTAAAAGTTAATTAATGATAGGAGCTGAATTGGACGAACAATGTAACGGGTGACAGAAGTAAACAATATCGTATAGTAGAAGGATAATTTTGGACCTTTTCCCTAAAAAAAATCTCAACTCTTGTTCGTTATGAATTTGCTTACTAGCGCCCCGTTAACTTAGGAGACACAAAAATAAACCTTTTTCATATTGAGATATTCCTAATAATATATTTTATCCATTTTTAATTGAATAAATTACACAATAAGTTATGAGTATCATCTTTAATTAATCAAGGGAAAAGGTTCAAATTTATCCCTCTACTTTCGGATATTGTCTACATTTAACCTTTGTTATACTATTCGGCTAAATTTATCCTTACCGTTATATTATCCGGCTAAATTTATCCTTATCATTAGTAAACTTTTAAAAGTTACCCCTCAATCTGTTAAGTAACCCAAAATCTTTCAATCTCTTTTATTTAAGTCACTCATCTTCTTCTTGATCCACTATTTTCATAAATTACTATTAAGATGAATGCTAAAGGTACTAAACTATACAAATTATTCATGGATATTTTCAATTACTATTGCACCCACTTCTCTTCTTGTAATATGGTTTTGGAATTGATTTAAAAAAGTTATAATTTTTCAACCATATACACCCGCATAATTTTGTACGTCTATTTGTTATGTATTATTTGTGGATGATCATCATGTATATACATATACATTCGAATATATTTTGTAATTATCTAGTTAATATTAGGTCGACTAACTTAGGAGTGCACAATGCGTAGACATTTGATTAAATCAAAGTTGAATTTGACAATGCAAAATCTCCAAGGAACTTCAACTTCTATAACTAATACTTTCAAAGTCTCTATACCTTTTGTGAAACGAATTCATTAAAGTTGTGGTATTATAAATACTTTTGAAATTTAGACAACTAACCAATTTAGATTCTTCAATCTACAATACTTTGTTTACTAACTACTGTATTATTTTAATATTTCTTTCACTTATTTTTTTTAATTAAGAAAGCAGGTAAATATCAACTAGTTTGAAACTAGTGGATCAAGAAGAAGAAAAGTGACTTAACTAAAATGATTTAGGAGATTCTGGGTCACCTAACGAATTGATAGATAATTTTTAGGAAAAATTTCACAAAAGAACAATTGGGCTCCCTTCTTTTCAATTTTATAGCCCATATTTCATTTTACAACCAAATAGCCAAAAATAATAGGTTAATACTCAACATTCAACTCCATTAGGTTCTCGAAATTACTATTTAATTTTAAAAAAAGATTGCTTAAGCTTTTAAGTTAATTTTTGAATCAGTAACTGTGACTCAAATATTAGTTTAACAAACCAAATCTATTTGGGTGGTGAAAATTAGATTTTTAACAAGTTTAAATATGTGGGTTTAAATTCTGAATTTGATTTTGTGAGAAATTTGGAGTGGATATTATTTAGACTTATTAGAAATAGTATAAGGATGTTGTATATAAAATTTGAAGTCATTTAATGGAGATTTGGACAGGTTTTGAACAAGAGTTGCAACTGAAAATCGTGAAAGAAGTTCGTCTACAGATGTTTGTATAAAGGTGTATAATAATATATAAGATGTGTTTATGCAGTCATATATATTATTATACAAGATTATACAAAAACCTGACTTCGTCTTCTTCCTTGCGTCTTTTCTAAAATTTAACTCAAATCTTGCTCAAATCTAATCCAAATCACCTCAAATTTAAATCTTGAACTCTTTTTGATATTTTCACTCAATTGAAACAACACCCAATCCAAATAACTAATAAACTCAAAAAATCCTATTCTCGAAAACAAAGCTTTGAATGGCCTTCAATGGTGGACTTCTACTCTTCAATTTTCTTATATTACAACTAGGTGACACAGAGGGAGAAACAGAAAATACATGGCCCCTTGAAGCATATGCAAAAGATGCGAGAAGAAGAGAGAGTGAAAGCAATGGTTGTGAGAACATATGTTTAGCTCCATATCTTTTAGAAGCAATGGTTGTAAGAACACAAAATTTGAATTTGCTAGTGCTTTAAAAATATGTACAATATGGGCTAGGTCGGGTAAAACTTAAAAATATGAGCCATCTTTTGTTATGGTGTGAAGTCATGTGTATTTTATTGTAATGTTTTTTAATTTTTAAAAATTTGCTGATTGTAAGAATAAATTTGACCGGATAGTATAATACTAGGTGTAAATTTGAATAATATAAAAGTAGAGGGGGATAAATTTGGACATTTTCCCATTAATCAAATAGTGTTAGAAAACGTTAGGTGACATCTCTTTTCTCTGTCCGCCACGCCAGCAGATCAAACGTATCCCATTAAAAATTGAAATTACCGTAGCTGAACCCACCCATAAATAAAAAGAAAAAGAAAAACGAACACTTCTCTCTTTCTCTAATAAAACCTTCTCTCCAGAGAGAGACAGAGAAAGAGAGGAAGAAGAAGATGAAAGAGATGTAAATTTTTCTGTTTTGTTCTGTAAATAAATGCTTCTTCCTTCCTCATGGGACAACAAAATAAATAGGGGGAGAAAAAGAGGAAGTGCCGCAAACTGCACAGGAAATAACAAAACGAAAAAGAAAAAAAACTGATTTCTTTTTGTGCAGCCATTGTCTCGATCTTTCTTCTCCCTTTTCTGTCTTTTGTGTCGGTTCAAGAATTGGGTTTTCCTTACAGTTGGATTTGTTAGAGTTCAAATTGAATTTTGAGCTCTTTCTTTTGGGGAAAAAAAGAAAGAAAGTGCTTGATTTTATTTAGCTGAAGAGGTTTCCAAATTGGCTTTCTGATGTTCTGTGTCTCATACTGATGGGAAGCTGTCCCCACTCATGACAATTATTGCACCAGCTTTCTGAATTTAAACCCACAACCAAAAAAAAAACGAATCTTGTTTTAGATTTATATGACTGGTGTTGTTGAACTGTTTCATTCCCAATTTTGGCCTTTGGAGAAAAAAGTTACAAAAGCAACTTTCTCTTGGTGGGTTGGAAGTTAATCAGCTCTTTGAATTGAATTGAGTGTTCATTTGGTTTATTAGAAAGGTTTGGGTGGTTTGCATGTATGTTGTGTATTAGGTTTGCATAATCTTGAATCATATTTTGTTGTTTAAAGAAGATGGCTTCAGCGTTAGGGATGGGAATAGATGAAGGAAGTGGGGATGAAACTAAAGGAGGGATGTGGGAATTAGACCAAAAGATTGATCAGCCTATGGATGAGGAGGCTGGTAGACTCAAAAATATGTATAGAGAAAAGGTAAAGATGTGCCTTTTCTTTTACTAGTACTAGTACTAGTATTATAGCTACCTCTCTCTTTTTGGACTTTCCCTTTTTCTGCTTGCTTTAATGATTTTCTTTTAAGTCAAGGGACCAGTTTGCTGGATATAATTGAATAGTCTTTTCTTCTCATTCATCTTGATGTTGGTGGAGGGACTCAATTATTTGCTTCTTTCTTGATCTTATGCATGATTAATTTGATATGGAATAGAGATGTTTGAATCAGAGGCAGATCCAGTATTCGAACTTTATGGGTTATACTATGGGATTTTACCACCACTAGTTTAATTTACTTGGTTCCAAATAAAAAAATTGTTCTTACTTAGAAGCTTCACATACAGAGTTCCAGCCACAGTTACTGAGTTACCCCTAACTCACCCTCTACATCAGCCCTTGGTTTGAATCGTGAGTCTTGAATAAGTGCGTCTGCCACTGGATGATTGGTTAGCTAGTCAGTTCAACCTAGAGCATGATTCTATATTCATGTCATGTATTTGTCTTTCTTCTCTTTTTTCCCTATTTTTTGGGGTGGGTAGGGGTGGGGGTTACACGGAGAGTAGGCTGTGGAAAGGTAATTTTTCATGTTGAAGACTTGTTTACTTCATCTTTATACTCAAACGCAGTTGATGACCAACAGAGGAAAGTTGACTTACTACTTATCTGCAAATGTCCTGCTGTAAGAGTATTTTGACTTACTATAAGAGTTTATGATGCCGTGATTGTTATTGCCTTATAAATAGAAGAATGATCCCATAGTTGTGAGTATTCGGTTGATCACAAAGCTGAGTAATTATGAGTCCATTATTGTTTGTGACTTGTGATCACTCTTTCTGCCCCTGTCCTGATACAGTTGTCTCAATGCAGAAATTCTCGGCATTGTTGCTTCTGCGGCTTGCTTTTCAGAGTCTAGGTGTGGTTTATGGAGACTTGGGAACTTCTCCTTTGTATGTGTTCTACAATACATTTCCCCATGGAATTGATGATACAGAGGATGTCATTGGCGCCCTTTCATTAATTATATATTCCCTCACACTTATCCCTCTCCTCAAGTATGTTTTTATTGTTTGTAGAGCGAATGACAATGGCCAAGGTAAGCTACTTTTGGAGTTCAAATGTTCAATTCTTTCATCTGATTCAGTTCTTTATTCTGCGTTATGCATGTCTCAGGATTTATTAGTTTGCATGCTTGCATGCTGAGCAGCTTTCCTGTATGAAATGTTTATTCCAGTGGTAGCTGTTAACTTCGGATATAAATACTGCTAAGGCATTGTTGAAAGAGAATGTTGCTGGCTTAAATTGATTAGGCACCTTTTTGTTGGTTGGACAGGGTTGGTTCTCTTTGCTCCTTTGTCCAGTTAATGCAGTTTAAAGACCGGTCAAGTTGGAGAGAACCCTTTAATTCTGGGTTAAGCTGACTAGGCAGTGCAGCTCTGAAAATTGGGTTCAAGCAAGTCAATACGCTTGTGTGTGCTTGCGTATCTGTCTCTGTTAGAGTTAGAGATAGAGGATGAAAAAAAACACGGAAGATATGTCCTAAACCTTACCCACGTTATGTACTCAGTTAGTTTTTTTGAGTTGCTTTCTTCTCGAGAAAATTAAATCAATGGTGGGGCTGCGTTTATGTCCAAGAGAATGACATTTTCTGAACAGAATCCCATGGCTCAATTAATGCTTTATAGTTAAAGTGAAGAAGAATCTTTTACCTTCTCTAATGTTATAATTTGTTGCCTACAGCTTGAAATGGATTTCAGATATGCCATAGCATACAAAGTTTCTTACTCTTTTTCCTTGTGTGTTTGAGCAATTCATTTTTGGTTAAGATTGTGGAGTCTTCATTCTTGAAGCAATTCTCATAAGATGTAATGACTTTAAAATTCGGAAGATGAAACAATTGATCCTTGAGAACTTTGGTATGAATGCTTCTGCATTCTCTTATTCATCTCTTAGTTCGTTACTGGGCTATCGCCAACCCCCAAAATACCTATTATAAGACCATCAAGGTAGCTTCTCAATTACTAACATTTGAAAACATAAATTGCCCAATTTCTAACATTGAAGAGTGGTGAATCACATAGACCTCCCATGATTGTAGAGGTTTTGGTTCCACGCGAGGAAAAAAAGAGAATGGAAGAGACGTAATGATGACTTGGTAATTTGATCAATACAAGACACCTATTATAGGCATCAAACATATTACATAGATAATACTTGTCCAATGTAGGACATTGGCGAACTCTTAGAAACTTAACACTTTTAATATTCTAACTCTAACATACACAATTTTAATGTACCGAATCATAGCCTTATATAATCACCACCTAGCTTCAAATGAAAAAAGAATTGCTTCAATGGAGGATGAATGGAGAGAACTTCTAGAAATGCAAGAACTTACTAATATCCTCATTCATGTTGGTTAAAATTTTATGCAAAAGACAAAAAATTTTCTTTAGAAAGAAGAGGAGAAATTGTACTTTGAGTCGATAGAAAGTTAATATGACTAGCAAGAGCCTCGCAGTCCTGTTGTGATTATAGATCTCAAAACCTTTTTATCCTATATGTGAGGTTCAAACCTTGACATCACATAGACAACATCAAGCATCTTCACATAAAGGCTTTCCCCTCCTATTGTGATCAAATCACTGCATTTAAAAGTTCATGACGTGAAGATGTGGAAACATAATTTCCTCAAATAACCTAAACAATCTCTTGCATCAGCCCTAAGGCAAAGAACAGTACCAAAACAGGTCATGCGTCTTATTACACTTTCTTGTCCTTGCACATAGGTGCCCCAGTCTGTTCTGCCGACATGAGCTACTAAAAGTTGCTGAGCAATCTGCAGAAGCTTTTTTTCTTTGTTAGCATTTACTGTTGTAGTTGCTAATAAATTTTGGTTTTTATATCTGTTTAGAATGACAAAGGTTTCTTGAAAATCTGTGTTAGTAGGTGGTGTGGAGATATTTGACCTGAAAGCCTAAGCTACAACCTTCTCTAACCTCTGGATCTCTTCAAATTATCTTCTGTCATAGACCATTTATGTCCTTCATAATGGTGTGTGTTTCATGAGGTTCTCTTCTTAGCACAATATTGAACCTTGTTATTTTCTGTTCTGCAAAATCTCCATTTACAGAGACTTCTTCTATCTTACCTTTAAATAATATTTAGTTCTCTCTCTTTTTTTTTTTTTTTTTTTTTTTTTTTTTTTTTTTTTTGTATTTCAGAAGGAAAAAAGAAAAGAAAGAGCATAGGATAAGCATAAAAAAGTTGCACTAGTTAAAAATGTAGAAAGGGCTAATGGGTGAAGGAAAATGTTAGATTGTCTTGCAATTTAGCAAAATATATAGTTGTTTCCTAGTATACCTTAATATCACACGGAGTTACTATATTTTGAATCTAAAGAACAGTTTGTTTATCAATCGAGGTTATTTATTTACTGTGACAAACCAATCACTCTAATGTTGACTGTGTTACAGACACGTCATGATCTAAAATTAAATTAAAGGAATTTTCTTGCATTCATTTGATATTGTTGTTTAGTTAACTTAATTTCCCTTGCCTTCATGTGCTTTACATTTTTTATTAATCACGTTACATAACTATATAGCAACAAAGATTTGTTCACTAACTAATGCGGGAAACACTAAAGATGATAATTTGACTTTTGTCTTTTAGGCGGGACTTTTGCTCTTTATTCTTTACTATGTCGCCATGCTAAGATAAAGACAATTCCCAACCAACATCGGACAGATGAGGAGCTGACAACTTATAGCCGTAGCACATTCCATGAGCATTCATTTGCTGCAAAAACAAAACGATGGTTGGAGGCATATTCATTCAGGAAGAATGCACTTCTTATTATTGTAATTGTTGGCACTTGCACGGTAATAGGTGATGGAATTCTCACTCCGGCTATATCAGGTACCTTTGTTTGAAGTTTGTCTTGTACTTGTCATCTTGTATCTACTAGACTATTAGGTTGATAGAAATTCACTATTCTAGTTTCTGGTAAAAAACTTTGCCTAATAAATTTCTCGAAGATAAAAGCTCATATATTTAATTGCAGAAAAAAATCAATGATCGGATATGTTTCTTGAAATAGATGCTCTCTTAATATCATGATGGTTTACTATATTGTCCATCTAGTTTCGGTAGACCAGATCATTTCAATCCAAAAAGACCCAGAATTTGTAGTATTATCTTTCCCGAATGTTTGTTCCCATATGCTTCAAAAGCATACAATTTGTTGATGAAAATGCTGGTCAAATTGCCAAGACTACATGACGTGCATTCCCAACTGCTTTTTATTTTTTCTGTAATGACCAAAGTCTAACTATAGCTGCCCAAGCTACTCCTAGCTTGTTGCTTTTCATCCTTGCTCTCTTGCTGTACAAAAATTATCTCAGTATAAGGCTTATTGTTGAAACAGCATTGGTTTTCGGTACCAAACGTTCTTAACTAATATCTGAAAATTTTATGCAGGAACATGTGCACCTTTTAATAATGGATAGAATTTGGATTAAGGATATGTATATATTAGTAATACCGGTATACAACTACTTAATTTTGAAATTGCATTCTTTTTATAACAATCATAACAATCCCTGCATTGTTACTGGTCGTTTAACAATCCATGTTACCATGTATTGTAATTTCTGCATCACTAATCCATGGACCAAACAACCCCTAAAGCTTAAGCCGGAGTTTTTAGTGGTTAGAAATTCCAAAAGACTTTTAGTGAGCTTACATTAGGTCCGGTGTTTATTGGAAGTCTTTGTAGTACATTTAGAGATATGTCGGTAAAATATGTAGACAATTTCTGGCATTAGAGAAATATTGACTATTGGAATGTAAAGGATACAAATGGAGCAAAATGTAATGTCTATAGCTACATCTGCCCGAGGAGGGACACTAAGGCCTCATCTGTTTTTTTTTTTAAGATCAAGTAGGTGTTTGGACATAAGAATTGTAAAATTTGGAAAAATGGTAAAAAAAAATTCAAATGAAAATGGTATTGAAATTTATAGAGCTGTGTTTGGACATAAATTTCAGTTTGGGTTGTTTTTGAAGTTATGTGAGTGATTTGAGTGAAAATTTTGAAAAATAGCTTTTTGCAGTTTTTCAAATTTTTTCAAATTTCCAAGGTGCATCTTCAAGTGAAAATTGGAAATTTTATGAACAAACGCTGATTTCAAAAAAAAGTGAAATTTTTTTGGAAAAATCTTCCATCAAATTTTATGTCCAAACGGGTACTAAGGTGTCTGAATCTGAATGCATATCTGAATATCAAGATGTGTATTAAGATTAAGACATTTGAATCTGAATACACTACTGAATATTAAGATGTGTTTTAAGATCTGAATACTAAATGATTAAGACTGTTTGTTTTTAAAACATCTGAATATATAGAATTTATCTTTATTTAAAAAGTAATAAACATAAATTCAAAGAAAATACTTATCTATATATATATATATATATATGGTAGTTGGTGGCGGTGATGGCTAACAAAGGTGCTTGTGAGTGTCGACTAGATGGGGGTAGTTGGTGGTGATTTTGGTTGATGGTGGTGGTTCTAGGTAGTAGCTAGTGGTGATTAGTAGCGATAATAATTATGGTTGAGGATGGTGGTGTGGGTGTTGATAGTTAATAATGGTGGGTGGTGGTGGTGGTGGTTGTGATTGGGGAAGATGATGGTGGGTGATGGTAGTTTATAATGGTGGGCAGTGCCGGCTATAGTTATTGATGGTGATGGGGTGGTAGGTGGTGGTAATTGAGGTAGGTGAGTGTGTGGTTATGCTAGATGATGATGGTGGTGGGTGGTGGCAGCTATGGTTGAGGATGGTGGTGGTGGTAGTTCATAATAATGAATGTGGATGATAGCATCTTAAGGAAATTAAGTCTTTGTTATAGATCTTAATGATATAGACCAATTAAGTGGTTGTGAAGTAAAAAAAACACACTTAATGATTAAGATCTGAATATTTAAGATTCAGACTTTAAAAACAAAAGTACTTAATGTTTGAGATCTGAATGATTAAGATTCAGACCTCCATAAAGTGCAAAAAAATGAGGCCTAATAATGCAATTCTATGTTACATCAATCCCAACTATTTTATAAATATAAAAAAGTTAATAATCAATTGAAAGTTTTTTTTTATGGTGTTGCCTAAAACCTATAGGAAATAAGGTTCTAATTGCTGGTAACTAGTTGGAAAAGTTGCTCGAAAAGTGGGCAGAAGAATGTCCTCAGAAAAACATATTGTTGTATGACGACAAAGTGCTATCCAAAAATAGCCGGTTTAACAGACACAATATAATTGGAACAGTCATTGGAAATATGCTTTTGTTCGGGCAGGCTACATAATGGTTGCCCGCTAGTAACCGAAAATTTCTTGTCTCTCTACCAAGATAGTTGATGGTCTAATACTATGCAACGAAATATGAGAAGAGAAGATATGTAGATGATTTAATAATTTTTATCATCAAAATACAAAATAAATTACCCAATAATTTGATGTATACAGGACACTTATTTATAGATGTCAAACATCCAATGTGGAATTGTATTTAACTTAAAACTTTACCACTTTCAAACTTTTCTAATCCTAAGATTTTAAGCTACCATTTGAACATCCAATATATACTCCTTATGAAAAGAATGACGGGAGAATTTAACTATTTAATGTATTCAGAGAACGCTGATGATATAGTTCTGATTGATGAGACGCGAGTGTTAACGAGAGGTTAGAGGTTTGGAGACGGTCCCTTGAGTCTAAAGCTTTCAAGCTGAGCAAGACTAAGACTGAATACGTGGAGTACAAGTTCAGCGGCGTGCCGGAAGAAGCGGACATGGACGTGAGGCTTGCCTCTCAAGTCATCCCCAAGAAAGGGAGCTTAAGTACCTGGGGTCGATTATACAAGGGGATGGGGATATTGACGAGGATGTCAAGCATCATATAGAAGTGGGGTGGATGAAACGGAGGCTAGCGTCTGGCGTCCTGTGTGACAGGAAGTTGCCTCCGGAACTTGAAGAAAAGTTCTATTGAGCGGTGGTTAGGCCGGCCATGTTGTATGGTGCAGAGTGTTGGCCAGTCAGGAATTCTCATATCCAGAAGATGAAAGTTGCAGAGATGAGGATGCTGAGAAGGATGTGCGGGCACACTAGGCTGGATAAGATTAAGAATGAAGATATCCGGGTGAAGGTGGGCGTGGCTCCCATGGAAGACAAGATGCGGGAAGCTAGGCTTAGATGATTCAGGCACTTGAGGAGAAGCCTGGATGCACCGGTAAGGAGGTGTGAATGGCTGGCTTTGACGGGTACGAGAAGAGGTAGAGGGCGGCCTAAGAAATATTGGGGAGAGATGATGAGACGGGACATGGTGCGGATGCAGATTTCCGAGGATATGGTCCTTGATAGGAAGTTGTGGAGGTCGAGCATTAGGGTTGTAGGTTAGGGGATAGGAGGCTAGTATGATAGTGTTTTGTTTTAGGCTGCTAGTGGCTCCAGTTGTGTTCTTAATACTTCATTAGTCGTAGGTTAGGCTGCAGTATGTTTAGTGGCCCTTTGTGTCCATATTATTCCCTTACGTCTGTAGTACTGTGCCTTTCTTACTGCTTAGTGTTATTACTTTGCTCTCTATTTTCTGGTTATTGCGTTGCTAGTGTTATCTTTCTGGATTCCTTTGTTGTTATTGATATACTGTCTCTTTCCTTTTTGTGCTGAGGGTCTACTGGAAATGGCCTCTCTACTACTCCGGAGTAGGGGTAAGGTCTGCTTACACACTATCCTCCCCAGATCCCATGGGCTGTTGTTGTTGTAATGTTTTCCGGGAACGATCCCTTAATCTTTTTAAAAGTAAAATCTATGCATTTGGAGATTACATAAAAAGTATTATGTGCCACATTTTCTATAATTGAAAAATATTTAAACAAATATTAAAAAATGTAGTCAAGAGGTAGTTATGGTGTCATACGGAGTGTGTGAAAGCCTATAAAGATTTATTCTCTATGTTTTGATTTACGTTTCTATTGGTTCTTATATCTTAAGTTTGTAACAAAGCACTTATTCAGAATTTTTTTCTCAGTTCTTTCAGCTACTGGTGGGATCAAGGTGGATCATCCAAAGATGAGTAATGGTACTATTCTACTTTTCTTAATACCACCTTTTTTTATTTCTTTGTTGATCCATCTCGGTTACTTTTTTCTATTTTAATCATTTACCCTGACTTTGTTCTATACTTTGATGCTTATAAAAAGAAACTAATTCGGGAGCTTTTTTATGCAGACGTAGTGGTGGTTGTTGCAGTCATTATATTGGTTGGTCTGTTTAGCTTACAACACTATGGCACAGACAGGGTTGGTTGGCTGTTTGCTCCCATTGTGCTGCTTTGGTTTCTATTAGTAGGAGGTATCGGCATCTTCAACATCTGGAAGTACGATAGCTCTGTTTTGAGGGCTTTTTCTCCTGTGTACATATATAGGTATTTTAGGAGGAGAAAGAAAGAGGGTTGGACATCTCTGGGAGGAATAATGCTCAGCATTACAGGTTTTGTCTTCTTCGTTTTCCCTTTTCTCAAACATCTCTTTTGAGTGCAAAGAATGACTGTGTGAACTCTGATAGTTCCTTGCTGACTACTTCAGGGACAGAGGCACTTTTTGCTGATCTTGCTCATTTTCCAGTGTCAGCAATACAGCTTGCTTTCACAGTCATTGTTTTCCCATGCCTTCTTTTAACCTATACGGGGCAAGCAGCATACCTCATGCAAAATAAGGAACATGTTGTCGATGCATTCTACCGTTCTATTCCAGGCATGTCTTGATCTCTTAACTTTAACATTTGTTAACTCTATTCGTTTTGGTCCACGGTGGTGCCAAAAGGATTAATGAACTCTAATGAGTAGTATGTCAATAGAGCTTGGATGCAGATTGGAATATATTTTCGTTGTCAGCTGACATCAAAATAGCCTGTACCTAGCTCTAAACTTTTTTGTGGCCAAGTCCCTAGCTTGTCTAAATTTCATCGTTAGAGAGCATAATCTATGAAAAGGAAGCAGTAAAGAATCAGAAAGTCAATGGACTACCGTGACAAAGTGAGAGAGCTAAAATGGACTTGTTGCAAGTAAGACTGAGTTGGTAGACGGTCCGTAAAAGGAGAATCCAAGACCAAGTTTTGCCTGATGGGTATTTTCCAGTTTCTCTAAAATGTTCGTTTACAAAATTCTTACGCTTGAATCGTGCACTGACTACCTTCTGAAGCTAAAGACCTTTTCCCCTATAAATGATAAATTCAGAGAGGCAGTCTTGATGAGCTGTGCCCTTAGGCCCAAAAAGTTACACCTTAGTTGAGTTATACATAAAGAGATACCTCAGTGCGCCTCCTTCTCCTGAGTTTGCCTTTGAGAATTAGTTTTACAAGCTAGATTGAACTCCTTGTTTTCATTGTAATAGAGACTGGATTGTTTTTATATGTCAAAATGCTTGTTCATGTCACATCAAGATTGACATTGGATATAGATTAAGCTTTAAAAGAATCCTTCCAACTATTCTGTATAACGTGGAATATCTTTTCTACATCAAAAATTCAGATGAATTAAAGAAGAGCTCTTTACTCTCCACATCCGACTGTCGATTCCTTCAACACTCTTCTATTCCTTTCTCTCATTATCGGCGAAAAAACACAAAGACATGATACTTTCCACAACTCATTTTTCCTCGCTTCCAATCTCCAACTCACCACAATTTGCCACAATTCTAGGGAGTGCCCAGGCCACATCAAACACGGCATACACCAAGGATATAACTCTGTAGTAAAGCTACAATATAGCAATATGTGGTTGTATCTTCCCCCACTTTCCTTGCAGAAACAGCATCAACTCACAATTATCATTCTCCTCAAATTTTCTACCTTAGGTTGAGCACTTCCACATCACAATCAAGTGAGAAAGCTGCTCTTGAGCACTCATGTCTTCCATATGTGGCTGTGTTAAATTGTGTGACCATTTCATATAAAAGCTTATGCCGTCAGATAAGGTACATTTTTATTACTTAATTATATCTTCAACACACTCCTTCACGTGCAAGCCTGTTTCATTTTCACGGGTCATGGAAGTTCTTTTTGATAGTGGTGGCAGTGAGACTCAAACCAAGGACCTGTGCCTGTTCTTATACCGTGTTGTTGNCCCAAACAACACACACACACAAAAAAAAAACTTAATCGAGAAGCTCTTCAATGATGACCCTTTTCAAATGCTGTCTTCTTCTCCAAAGTAAATATAACTGTAGATGTTCTGGAAAAATTCATTAATGTGATTCCAATTCCAATCTAGATGGGTCTTCTGAAAGATATTTATTACACTTGACATTCATCATCTCTGAGGAGATCTGATTGTAGCCTGCTTATCGATTGTGATAAAATATAGATGTGAAAAATCTTCTTTTGAGGTTGAGTTCCCACACCAAACATCAGCAAAAAAAAAATCCCTGTTGTCATCTCCGAGTGTGAAGCCAACGAATCCAAAGAACTCATTCCAACACTGTAATCCATTCTTTTTATCCAGTCATTTGCCAGACATATAGGACCTGCTCCTTCCGAGGAAATAATGACGCAATTCTACAATTTTTATTTATCATTGATGACTGCTCAAGGTCTCAAGGGTAGTTGTCAGGCCCCTGGTTGGGGCAGGCACTTTTTTGTTATCTGTTTTTTTTTTTTTTTTTTTTGGGGGTGGTGGGGGGGTGGTTGTGCTTTTGAACTATGTATATAGACCCCACCCCTGAGTACTCCTTTACAGAACATCAGGGACATTCTTTGATCATTTTCTCTACTAATGTGACCAGTTGAAACCACTTCTACTCGCACAACTAAATGGAAATTTTTGTAGTAGTAAAGCTGACACCAGTGGCTAAAGTGTGAAGTTATAATGTCTTTGACAAATCGTCGTTTTAGTAATGCAGAAAGCATATACTGGCCAGTTTTTGTCATTGCAACTTTAGCTGCTATCGTTGCAAGTCAAGCAACCATTTCTGCTACATTTTCAATAATCAAGCAAGCTCTGGCACTAGGCTGTTTTCCAAGAGTTAAGGTTGTACATACGTCAAAGAAGTTCCTTGGGCAGATTTATATTCCTGATATAAATTGGATACTTATGATTCTTTGCATCGGTGTCACTGCTGGATTCAGAAATCAAAGTCAAATTGGCAACGCATACGGTGAGTACGTGTGTCGAATATAATATTGCTTGATTTTGTTTGACTTTTTACTGAGAAGCAAGTGGGTTCACTGAATGAAACTGGCTCAGACACCATCATTATCCCCCCCAAAAAAGAAGACTGCTCTGAACCATTGGTTCAAAGTGTGTTCGTTGAAAATTCACTATCTATATAAGTAAATATATTCCACGAACAAAAACAAAAAAATTGTGTACAGCAAAGACTAAACCACTTGACAAAATGGAGAGCTGCGGCATAGCAGCAAAGTGGGTTCACTCAGTAAAGTCATGTGTCTGAGCCTTCAATGTAGCTCTTTTTCTCCATCTTCTAGAGAAAGACCAAATAGGTTTATTATTTGTGAGTCTGTTTATGACCAAATAAATTGTTTGTCTACTGTGTTATAGGTTGCTAAATTAGTATTGTGATTTAAAAACAAAGGGCAGCCCAGTTTACGAAGCATCTCGTGTTCACGCAGGGTGTGGGAAGGGTCGCGCCCCGAAGAGTGGGATGTATGCAGCGTACCCTGATGCAAGTATCAGTGGCTGATTACACGGCTCGAACCCGTGACCTAAGTCACACGGAGACAACTTTACCATTGCTCCAAGACTTCCCTTCAAATTAGTATTGTGATTATTGATTACAAAAATAATGCATGAAAATTAAGAAATGAATAATTGTTAAAGTAAACATAAAATTCAAAATTAAAATGCTTTGTTCAAAGCCTCTGAAAGTTGGGTCATGGAACAAAATGATTGTTCTGTTCAGTAGATTAATATATAATAATATAAAGGGCGATGAACAAGGGAAAAACAGAATACTAGGCTTGCTGCCCCGGTGCCCCCTGCTGCTCGCTATTGCTTTGCCACACTTGTGCAAATCCTGGTTCCCGTTACTTTCAATGATTCTGTTTTCTTATCTATTGTAGATTCCTGCGTTTAGCATTTACACCATATGTTGGAACACCTCACCTTGAAATGTACATACTAATGTAACATTTTCTTGAACAGGAACGGCAGTCGTGATAGTCATGTTGGTGACCACGCTCCTCATGACCTTGATAATGTTACTAGTTTGGCGCTGCCATTGGGTTCTTGTCCTTATCTTCACTGTCTTATCTGTGGTGGTTGAATGTACCTACTTCTCTTCTGTGTTATTTAAAGTTGATCAGGGTGGTTGGGTTCCGCTTGTGATTGCTGCAGCTTTTCTTGTCATCATGTATGTCTGGCATTATGGAACTGTGAAACGATATGCATTTGAGATGCACAGCAAGGTGTCAATGGCATGGATTCTTGGGCTCGGCCCCAGTTTAGGACTTGTACGTGTACCGGGGATAGGACTTGTCTACACCGAGCTGGCTAGTGGGGTGCCACACATCTTTTCTCACTTCATTACAAATCTGCCAGCTATACATTCAGTTGTGGTATTTGTCTGTGTGAAGTATCTTCCAGTTTACACAGTTCCTGAAGATGAGAGGTTCCTCGTGAAACGCATAGGACCCAAGTCTTTTCACATGTTCCGCTGTGTTGCAAGGTATGGTTACAAAGACCTCCATAAGAAAGATGAGGAGTTCGAGAGAAAGCTATTTGATAACCTCTTCCTTTTTGTTCGGCTGGAGAATATGATGGAAGGCTGCTCTGACTCCGATGAATACAGCTTATACGGACAGCAAACACAGAATTCAATGGATTATTTAGTGCGAAATAACGGCAACTCAACTACAGGAAATAATGACTTTACATGTTCGACGGTGGAATCAATAGTACCTGTGAAATCTCCCACTCAAGGAAGCAATACAGTCACATCATCGTTGGGCCGTGAGAGCAGCCAGGCAGAAGTGGACGAAATGGAATTCTTAAATCGTTGTCGAGATGCTGGGGTTGTACACATTCTTGGAAACACTGTAGTTAGAGCAAGGAGAGACTCTAGGTTCTATAAGAAAATTGCTATTGACTATATATATGCGTTTCTTAGGAGAATATGCAGGGAAAATAGTGTGATCTTCAACGTACCTCATGAGAGCCTCTTGAACGTTGGACAAATTTTCTCTGTATAAAATTTTTCGCAAATGATCAATCGAAGATATTATTGACTTGTATAGTCATCAGTTGGCTAGCGACGGATTAAGTGTTTTTGTGGATCTTTACAAACTTGTTTTTAGTTTTATGACCCTAACTCTTTTTTATCACATAGGAGATCAGATTTATCGTTTACACATAAGAAATCTAAAAATGATACATTTTTAATTTCAGGCCTATTTCCTTTGCAAAGCATTGCACATTCCAGTAAAATATGATTTCTTTCCTACTTTTTCATGTCCCAAAATGAATTAAATTTTGGATTTTTGTGTAGTAGAATTTTTATACAATATCATTGCAATTTAACCGCTTTGACATCACAAGTAGAGAGAAATGGTGTAGGCTTTGACATCAAATTGGTGGATTGAATCACTGCAGTTTAGGTAGATGAGGTAAAACATAGGTTCAGACACTTTGGTCTAACAGAAACATAGAGCACTAGGAGGATACAATCTTTATTAGAATGTTTTGTGGATTTAACCAAGTCATCTTTAAGTTGAAGAGATATAGGAAGAAGATTGAAACATCTATTTGTAAGGCCCGTGAAAATTTCTACTCAAAAACCCGAATCTTATAGTGTCAAGTTAGGATCATGTATTAGAAATTCATAAAATGCGGACTGCATAGTCGCTGCAGAACCAGATAGTTTGATGGTTAATTTGAGGTTAACTATGCTGCCAATTATGCGATCGCATAATCAATATGCGGGCCGCATAGTCATCGCATAATCCCTGGAATTTTTGTGAGAAGCAGTTCTGCGATGCATTATGCAACCGCAGAATAGGTATGCGGACCACATTTCTGTCGCATACCCAGACAGTTTGTGCAGGTTTTGGGACCATTTTTGTGGTCCATTTCGCGGGCCGCATGTCCATTATGCGATCGCAGATTTCGTCGGGGCTCCTATTTTCTAACTTTTAAAACCCGATCACATCCCATTAAAAACACCCCATTAGACCCCTTTTAAGCTATTTTACTGCAAAAAGAGTGAGAGAGGAAGTTCAAGAGAGAGAGAGGGTGATCTTCAACAATTCCCCACTCAATTCTTGCCTAAGCCCTTGAAGATTATCAAGAAAAGCTGCTAGGCCTTCACCCCAAGAGGGTAAGAACTTGAGCCCTAATCTATAATTTCGAAATTTCTACTAAAATAATTGATTAACAAGTGGGTTCATGGGTATAAGGATTAATTATCTTGCATGCATGAGTGATAATGGGGTATGGGAAGATTGTGAGTTAAAAGGATAGCAATTGGAGTATAAGGTGATGAAAATCTCTCACAAAAAGGGTCCTAAAATCACAATGCACACTTAGTGCTTGATAACATACTTAAATGAGCTAGAATCTTAAGCATGTCTCTAATTCTTGGTTCAATTTGTAATTTTCATAAAATAGATTGAAGTTGCTAAGAGTCACGGAATTTTTGTAAGAATTTAAGGAAAGCTCTATTGAGGTATGTATGGCTAAAAACCCCTCCTATTAGAAATTGAGCTTCATTGGTATGTGTATATGCAAATGTGGTAAGACTGAAAACTTGATTGATGTATTGATTGTTATTTTACATGAATTGGTTTTGGAATTGTATATATAAACATGAAAGGTGTGCCTCAATGTGTGCAAAGTACTATCCTAGATATTTGAATATGTACAAAGAATATGAACCATGTGTTGAAATTGCCTAGACTTCATGTCAAGATTTAAAACTGAGATTGTCATGCTAATCATGTGAAATCTTACCTACGCTTACAACTTGAATTGCTTTTGTATGTGCCTATGATCATAAATTGCAAGGTTGACATTGAAAGTGGAAATGATGTGATAATTGTGACCCTAAGCGCCGACGAATTGGTATGATATATGTGAAATAAAGATTCAAATGAGATGATTAATGAGAAAGGAACAACGCCTAGGTAAGGCGGCCTAGCCGATCGGGCCGTGATCGGATACCATGCTGCACACATGGTGGTAATGTACTAACATTGAATTCTGGAAAAGGGAAATGAGACAGTGATTGAGGTATATGTCTCAAATGAGGTAACTTAGCCGATTGGGTCGTAATTGGACTCTGCTCAAGATAACGGTGGTATTGAGAACAATGATGAACACATGAAATGCCCCAAACTAAAGTTATGGAAGTCATGTGAAAGTGGTATGATTCTTTATTTGATGATGTGGTGTTCGGTTAAAGCTTTGATTGTCTCTTGTGATTTCCTTGAATTCTTGTGTGATAGTTCTTTCTAATAAGATGGTGTTTAGTTATACATACTAGTACTATTCCATGGTACTAACGTCCTTTTTGTCGGGGGCGCTACATTTTTAAATGAATGTAGGTGGCTTCATAGCGGATAGTGTCGATCGAGCGTACCGGAGTATCCTCCTCTCATAGTCTTTGTGAGCCCCTTTTTCCTTCAAGGGGTTATGTTGCACATCTTTTGTTGTAGATTTCCACTTTTGAGGTATAGTCGGGCCCTTGTTGTCGACGTTGTCATAATTGTCTTTTGTATCCTTAGAGGCTCCGTAGACGTTTGCGTGGATTATGTACGGGTGTTGGATGGGTCTATGAACTAGGTTGTATCTCAAACTCTTGTTTCTCTAAATTGTGACTGTATGTAATCTTGGAACTTAACTACGGTTTAAGGTTGTAATATGAAATGATCTAACAATGTTGAATGTACAACTTTCCCTATTGTCTAAATAAACGGAAGCATGATTTCCTTAATCATATTGAGTTGGGTAGAAAGTGTTTGATAAGGCTTATTCAGTTGGGTTCACTCGATTGAGCGCCGGTCACGTCTCCCGAAGTTGGGGCGTGACACTATTTCTCTCTTAGCATTCAATAAAGCACTGCTGAAATTAGTGTGTAGGCTAAAAGCATTGAGGGGGAAAGAGTGCTGGCACTTCTCAAAAGCTAGGAATTCCATTTATCTCTTCCCACATTTTATTTTTGCCGAGGGTCTTTCGGAAACAACCTCTTTACTTCCTCGGGGTAGGGTAAGGTCTGCGTACACATTACTCTTTCCAGACACCACTAATGAAATTTTAATAGATCGTCGTTGTTGTTGTACCTCATTAGTTAACCATTTAGCCAAATGTTTCATTGACACGTCACTCACTTATTGAGTCACAATTAAAGCACCGTTTGAAAGCTTCCCTCTACCTTTTCAATTATACGTTTGCTTTCCCTAAGAAAGCCAAAAAAACCATGATTTCCTCTTCTTCCCATTAATCTACTTAATTAGGCTTCTTTAATTTTCTTCTTTCTCACACACAATTTCACGTACATTCACATTTGTATATTAGAAAATACAGATGCATTACATAGCATCAGTAGAAGAAGGATCGAAGAAACAGAGCACAAAAAGAATTAGTAAAGGTTGTTTGATGAATTAATTATAATGAAGTCCTTTGTTTCTAATGGTACAATTCAGGAGAGGATTTGCAAAAAAATAAAAAAATAAAAAAAATCGGTTAGACACTTTTTCCTCCATGCTTATATGTCAAATTTTTTTATCTTGAAACAAAAGAATGTTATGAATATATTATATTATGGATGTTCATTTAATACTCTGTTGTAAATAAGCTTCCTGAAGAAGCTTATCCATATGAGACTCCACCGTAAATATATTTATCTATTTAGTACTCTATTGGAAATAAGTCTCCTGAAGAAGATTATTAATTTGGTACCCGGTTATGGATAAACATTACCCCCGGTAGAATATTATTCATACCGGGTATAATAAGCTTATCCTTTCGATACTCGGTTATGGCTAAACATTACCCCGGTAGAAGATTATCTATATCGGGTATAATGAGCTTATCCTTTCAGTATTCCATTATGGATAAACATTACCCTCAGTAGAAGATTATCCATATCTGGTATAGTAGCAGCTTACACAGCAGCTTGCAGTAGCAGCTTACACAACAACTTCCTTTCTTCTATAAATAGAGGAGATTTCAGTTCATTATGTACATCAGTTTGAATTCGAATAATATTTCAGTTTCTATCTATATTTGTCTTTATTTTACAGTCTTTATTTTATAACACGTTATCAGTACGAAGTTCTAACCAAACGAGTGTAAAAATGAGCTCGAAGCTAAAGAAGGCTATTAATAAAACAAATAAAAGCAAGTCAGTTGGAGCCGCAATTAGAAATTAGAGAACGAAACAATCAATTTGCAGAATCTTTATCATCGCTTGCTCAGTGAGAATTAAAGAGAGTGAAGAATTGAAAAGCGGAAGTGAGAGCGAGAACCTCTCGCAGAGAACAAACAATCAATTTGCAGAATCTTTGGCAAAGCACACATGATGGAAAAACAACTAATCTTTGTAGTTGAAGGCACTGCCGCCGTGGGACCTTTTTGGCAAACAATAATTTCTGATTATCCCGACAAAATGATACGTGTAAGGCGATGCTTTTATATCCGAGGTTAGATCTTGTTTATTCCTAACATCATAAAGCATATTATATCCTTGAGGTGGTGAGTTTTTCTTCTTGTCAATAGTAATTACTTATATTTGGTTTAATATCTTTATCATCGCTTGCTTTGTTATATGCTACGTACACAATACCTATTTTGGTATTTTTTTTTATCCGTATTATCTTAATAAAGGGTTACAAAGTGGATAACATCGTTAGATCCACTTAAACTCCAAGAGAGTTTGCAAGAAATATACAACCACGAGAAGTGATTATATTTTGTATATCTCATTGTAACTAAATTTTGTTAACCACCAGAAGTGGTATATGCCTATGATCACCAGAAGTGATAATTTAGGCTTGCTATGGTTACAATAAAGATAAGTTAGAGAAAATTTCTCTATATTACATACTTACCTCGATTTGCTCCTGAAGTAGCAAATATATTAAAAGAGGTCAGACACAATCACAATTTAATGTGGTTATTGCACGCTCAGATAATTATGTTCGATTTTCTGAAGGATAAGAACTTTTGATAATATTAATCCATTTCCTAAAGTGAATGTGACAATATTAATAAAGTCGTAAATATGAACACACTCTTAATGTAAATATATTGCGA